AAACGAAGAAGAAGAAGAAGAAGAAGAAGAAGAAGAAGAAGAAAAAGAAGAAGAAGAAGAAGAAGAAGAAGCGAAAAATAAAAAGAAACGAAAACGAAGAAGAAGAAGAAGAAGAAGAAGAAGAAGAAGCGAAAAATAAAAAGAAACGAAAACGAAGAAGAAGAAGAAGAAGAAGAAGAAGAAGAAGAAGAAGAAGAAGAAGAAGAAGAAACGAAAAAGAAGAAGAAGAAGAAAAAGACAAAGCTTACCTTCGTGGAGATGGCGCGCGGCAGCACTCGAGGGAGTCGGCCGGTAGGCGGCAGGAGGACGACGACAGCGCGGCAGCAGGATGACGACGGCGCGGCAACAGGAGGACAGCGACGGCGCGGGACGACGACGAGCTCGGCGAAGGGTGGGACGGTGGAGGGCAGAGGGCGGAGGGCAGAGTGGGCACCAGGGGGGGCAGATCGGCCCAGGATTCGAATTTGAATCCTGGAAGCTACGCGCGCCGTCGATTGCCGTCGATCGACGGCCAAAAACGATTGAAAAAAAAACTTCGAAAAGGGGCCTACCGGGGCCCGAAAAATTAAAGTTTCGGCACGAAAATGGTTTTGGCCCTGCAGGCCAACGGGCAGCGGCGCGAAATTTTTTTCTTTGACGCCGTTTTCGGTACGGCGCTGAGGGGGTCCAGGTGCCTGGCCGGGAGGGTTGCACGGCCGAGCGCCCCGAGCGCCATTCTGGGCGGCCCAGGTGCCCCGGGCGCGCGGGGGAGAAGACCTAGATATAGGTAGCATTGAAGTTCTGAATCATCCCAAGGACCACAACCTGGCGTATACTGCACGGAAACACGACCATGAGCTCTCGCTGATTAAAGTGTCGCCGATGAAGTTCTCATACAGAGCCTCCCTGCAACGGTGATAAGCAACATCGGAGTCCAGCGCCAAGCAGATATAGATAGTACCCACAAATTGTTGAAATACAGACCCAAGTTCGAATCCAGATACAATCAGATAACCAGAATAAGATCACTCTGAATTACCTGGGCCCAATCAGTTCAAGGATGATGAGGATGATATCTCAAGGTGGTCGCCCTTTAAGGGAAAAAAAAAAAAAGATATAGCATTTGAAGATGGTACACTCGAATTGTATTGTTTAAGTGGACCGTCCACTCGTTTACAAAAGATTTTAATTTCACAATTACCTAGCTTTCCCGGGGCGCCCGGCCGGGTAGGGACCACGCCTGGGGTACCCTGGGCATGCAAAAAAAACACCCAAGTTTTTTTTATGGTTTATTTTTAACCGCCAGACCTTGCTGCGCTTTGGGAGTAGTGCCCAAATCCGGCCTCTTTTTTTATTTTCATGCAAGAGGCATGTTCATTTCTGGGGGGGGGGGGGGGGGGGGGGGGGCGCAGGGGTGCAGGAGGGGTCGAATTCGAATCCTGTACCAGTGCGCACCGTCGATCGACGGCCAGAATCCCCCAAAAAATTAAAAACCCTACAAAACGGGGCCTACCGGACCTAAACAAAAAAACACTCGGACCGCCAAAGACAAAGTTGGCACATTTGGAATAGGGCTGCGGGCCTGCGGCAGGAAAAAAAAAAAAAAAATTGAGGCTTTTTTCTGCCTTGGTGTGAGAGGCGCCCTGGTGCCTGCTCGGAGGGGTCGCCCGGCTGGGCGCCCCGGGCGCCATTCCGGGCATTGTGGGGTGCCCCGTGCACCCAGGGTGGAAAGCCAGACGATTACTAAGTCACTGGTTACTCGAAATCATGGCTATTCTGTTTAGTTTTCCTGCTTCACAATTGCTATATCATTTTCAATATTCAACAGTCAATTGTTTGACTATAGTAGTATGAAGTCTAGTTTTTACTCTTATCCATTATTGTTCGGCTCTTGGATTGAGATCTACAGACTCGAGAAAAACTAGTTTCTTCTTTTCTACCACATTGCCTACTTTATTACCTTCAATTATTTTTCGTACTTCATATCAAACTGAGGACGACCACCCCTCAAAGGCCGACGGGCGAGTTGCCAGCCTCGAAATCCTATTTCATCTCCTCCTCCTCTCCTGTCAGTTCACCATTGAGACGTAGGAGGGGTCCTTACACTTGCAGCTTGGACAGAGACAATACACTCCATACTGACTAAGCTCCACCATCTACCCAAGAAGTGCTGCCGCCTTCACCTGCTTCTCGCTCCAAAACTTTCAGAGTTCGCAGGGCTACTTCCAGAGTTCGCAGGGCTCTACAAAGTGCTGAGCAGTACAATGATCGCACTGTCGCACTCGAATGACAGACTCCTCTGATTTCGATACCCCTTCCTAAATCTCCCAAATCTCCCATGTTGGCGGAAGCTACCCGGTAGCCATTAAACCACCAGTACTTCCCCAAAGTGTGGCCGTATGTGTGCCAGCTATTGCTACAGTGCTGCAACGGTTCATCATGAATGAAAATAAAATTTTGACCTTGCCCAGCAGGACTACTCTGGTCTGATCAGCGAGTGAGCTGAGGAGGAGAAGAGGTAGGAATATGATAATAAGGCTGTACATCTCAACGAATCCCCGTGCGTATATGGCCCCACTATGGGGAAGTCCGATGTACTGGTGGCTTCAACCTTCTGATGTCTTTCAGAAATTGAGTTGCTTTTGAGGATTTCTTGCTGATGTTGATTACCCCACTTTTTTCTCCCCTCATGAAGCAGGATTAGCCTAGGGCCATGTCTCCTTTCAGTTCAGAAAAGCCTCAGTCTGGTTACTATTGCACCGAGAAGTCAGAGGAGGATGCATGAAAGAAGGCACTCACATTTCTCCCTGGAATGGCAGCATCGACGGCGTCGCCTTGTGCGACTCTGGAGTTTGCTGATCGTTATGTACTTTTGGGTTGAAGAAACCGTCCTTTTTCATGGGAGTTCCACTACATATCTTTCATTTTTTATTTTTATTTTCTTTTTGTGTTTTTTTTTTGTCAAAAGATGAGCCCCATCTAGTCTTGCGCAATCAGACTCGGCTTATTCACACTTCGTCATGCATGCAAACAGCGGTACAGCACACTGGCGACATGCGCCCACACAGTACTCAAAGATATCGTGCCCAGATAAGAGTTCTCTTCCAACTGGCTATGGCGACTGCGCGCYCACACAACTCACTGTTCGCACTCTGGATCACCCTGGATGTCCCACAYGCAACRCTCAGTCTCCATACGCAACACACACACACACTATGCTACAGCTATGGCAGCGCTAGCTGCCACTACCCTATCGCTACACTACACCTCTCTGCCCACTTCGTCTTCGGGCGCACTGCAGACCTCCTCGCACAAGCTGCTGAGGCAGCGCTTCCGCATGGCATCCGCAGGAATGAACGAATGGCTGGACGCAGCCTCTTGATTTATACTTCTGYGCTGYGTTGGTCTGCCCTGTGTCCCTTGTCCCTTGGTGCACACAGTCCCAGACGGTACTTGCTGGACAGGACCGGACTGACTAACTGGGACTGTTGACTCAGCGAGGTGGCCTACCACCACTTGACCACTTGCCTCTGTTGAACGCAGGCTAACTCCGAAAGGCCGCTTCTAGAAGTCTCTAACTTGGCSTTTCGGTACTGTAGCAGCTACRACTTTGCCCTTTCAGGTAAGTAGCAGCTACGACCTTGACCCTTCWGGCATCCTACAACTACGACTTCGGAACCATCTAGACTCCTACTCTACAGGTCTACAGTTCGATTCCCTTCTACCCTGGGACCTAMGACAATCTACCTACCACTGGCGTTCCTACAGGTCGCGGGTTCAAGTCTACAGGTTAACACTGATACTGTACACGGGTAAGACGGGGAACTAGGGATCGAGCCCTGGGATCTGCATTCGCTACTGCAACTGGTGAATACCATTTCACTTGGGGGCAGCAGTCCGGTTACTTATCACCGGCAAGCATGGTTCACAAAGAAAGGGGGGAGAACAGAAGAACAAGCACGGGCTCATAACCCTGTCGCCCTAGACGCGGAGCAGGGGGGCTGGGGAGCAGCATGATGCCGCATGCCTACATTTCCCCACGCGGGGCTCGCTTCGTGGCCAGGAACCCTTTGCTCGGTACCTGGATGCACACTATGCAGGTCACGTGGGGGCGGGTTAGGGGCACCAAGCTGTACGTCCAGCCTCCAGGCCTTTCATCCACATGCTCAAACCGCAACCAATGTTCAAGCTTATACAGGTGCTGGAGCCCTGCTGGTACTTCCTTGTATGGATCTCCAGCAAAGCTCAACGTTCTGTCTAGTAGGCATAGGGACATTCCACATTTCAGCATCCCCCAGGGACCCCTCAACCCCCCCCCAACCCCCCCCCAAACCCCCCCCAACCCCCTTTAACCATCTCTAACATAGGAGGCACAAACTCGGGTGAAATGACGAGATGCCAAACCTTTCACCATTTGACGGACAATTACTAAAAAGAACAGTTCAGTCAAAATTTTTGAAGAGAAGACGCCCAAGATCACAATTTCTGTACAAAACGCGGTGTTTGAAAGCACATGAAAGAAGAGTTTGCATCAGTGATGATAAAGAGAGCAACACACACACACACACACACACACACACACACACACACACAATAAACATAGCAAGCACACACACACACACACTTTGTTTTCTGTTTCCTGGTGGAGTTGTGTATAGCGAACATGACAACACACACACCTCTGGCTTGTCAATAAATTGAGCTTGAAGTCCTTTCTGCCGAGTCACCAGTCCTGTGGGGTTCGCTGGTGGTAATGGCTCTGGCACATGCTCAGACATTCTCCTCGCCCCCAAAATTCTTAACTGCAAGAGCAGTGGTCAATCAACCCAGTATGGCTGTTATAGAGTACCAAGTCTCCGGTCAGGGACAAAGAACATTGACGAGGGAAGTGAGCAGAGCAGATGATGAAGGGCGTTAAAGAGAGCATAGCAGTGCAAAAGGCAAAAAGTAGACAGCATTGCCAGCATCAATGCAAACAAAGAATACTATGCTGCCAACAGCCACGCAATAACTTTGAAAAACACTCACCCCAACCATCTCCCCCCCTGCAGGCCCCGCAGCCCTACTTTCCACCCAATTTCAACTTTCCTTACCACCTTCCTAGAACAAAGACACCACATAATGCACCATTAGCAGCTGTCACTGTGGCATTAAAAAAGATGAGCAGGAAAGGTTTCTTCACAGCCGCAGCAGAGAGGTCAAAGAGGGGGGGAAGGGAAAGGTAGGAGAGTAGGGTGTTGGATCCTTCTTCTACATAAATGAAAGACAGTGCTTCTACCCATCCGCTTCCACTTGTTCAGCAACATCTACTAGAAATGGAACCTCTCCCATCACCAAAAACACACACACACACACACACAGAGAGAGAGAGAGAGAGAGAGAGAGAGAGAGAGAGAGAGAGAGAGAGAGAGAGAGAGAGAGAGAGAGAGA